ATTTATTTGATACAGGGTCTTGCTATGCAGCTCAGACTCATAGTGACCTTCCTGTTTCAACCTCTCCAGCACTGGGATTATAGGCATGTGCCACCACGCCTGGTTTCAGTGGCCAAAGGCACGGTGTGCCTGGGGTTCCAGGGCTGGCATCTAGTACTCAGGATCAAATCCAGGGCCTTGTGTTTGCCAGGCAGGCACTTCGACCTCTGAGCTATCTCTCCAGCCCTCTTGTTTATATCTTGATTCCCCTCCCCCCATTCTGCTTCCCTCCCTTTAACCCTTCTTTCCCTCCTTATTTACAAAAGCTTTGTTTCCATTCTTTGGTTATTTTTCTTTCCTTCTCCCTCCCTTGGGATAGGTAACATTTCTTGGAGGCAGAGTGTCTCACATTCTGTGAAATGTCAGCACCTTAATCTAGAAACCATACTTGACAAGTGCTTGTTTACCCTGATACTGAGGCCACTGTTGGGTCCTCCCTCCCTGTCCATGGGTCTTTTCCTTTTCTCTTTCTCTTTTCACACTAATTAAGAGGATTAAATATTCAGGTGCCTTCTTAAGCCCCTAGGCAGTGGGCTCCATCTGCTGCCCTGGTTTCGAGGTTCCTGGTGTCTGCTGTGTGCTGAGGTGTGAACATTATGCCTACGAGGCTTCTTAGGTTCTGGAGTAGGATCCGCTTCAGCTTGTGTGCCGCAGAGAAGAACCCTTTTCCTTTGGTCCTGCCTTCTCCCTTGGGGGTCCAGGAGCTGAGGAAGAGGCCAATGTCTGTGAGTCGAAAGGCGATCACCTCTGCTGTCCACTTCTCTGCTGTCATGGTCACAGAGGACATAGTCACAGGTCTTGATGGAGGCTGGTTGGGATCCACTTCTAGGAATCTGGAATAGATTCAGGACAGGTTCTGACCTTTTGGATGGTGGGGTCTTTCTAGTCGAAGAGGGCCCCTTCAAACTCGCTCCTGCAGGGGGGAACAGTGGGGACAGGAGAGGTCAGCAGTGCTGTGCCAGACTCCTGCTGGCTGATCGCACCTCATGCGGCAGGTGATAGGCTCAGAGCACAGCAGCTGCGTCAGGGGGCAGCTTCGCTCTGCTTTACCAGGCTCATTATGGAAGCTGTTGCGGTGGAAGTTAGCGGACTTGAGGTGGTGGTGGTGGGCCTAGGGGTGGGAAAGGTGAGCGATTCTAGAACTGCACATTCAGTGGAAGAATCGGCTCCACGCCTTTCTGGGGCTGGCAACCTTGGGTTCAGGTTGGACTCCTCTCAGTTCTCTTGTGCTGTTGTCATGATGTCGTCAGCTGGGTGATGTAAGCAGCAGAAATCTATTGTCTCATGGTTCTGGAGTCTGGAACTCCCAGATCAAGATCTGGTCCTGGCTCCTGCCTTGCTCATGGCCTCTGTCTAGCTGTCTTCACTTGTGAAGAGAGAGCCCTGATTTGTCTTCCTTTACAAGGGCACCCATCCTATCAGCCAGGGTTCCACCCTTATGCGCTCATTTAACCTCAGTTTTCTCCTAAAGACCCTGTCTCCGATAAAGTCACATTGTAAGTTATAGTTTCATTGTTTGCGTTTTGGAGGGACACAACCTAGTCTGCTCTAAGTCTTTTTCTTTTTCCTTCCTGTGTCCTTATTAAGCCTGACATCACTGTATGCATCCACTGTGTCTGTCCCTTCTCCAGGCCTGCTGCTTCTGTCCTAGTTTAAGTCCTTATCATCTTTCACTTGTGTGGCAGTCTCCTCAAGTGGTTTTCCTGGCACCAGGTTCTCATTTCTTCAATCCTACCAGAGTTCTTTTCCTAAAAAAACTACCCAGTGTCACTTTTCCCCCCAAGGCCTCAGTTGACTCCCCTTTGGAGGGCAAGGTGAAGGCATTTTCAGCGGTTCACAAAGCCTGCCTGTGAGTGGGCCCTGAGCTGGCTTCCACCCAGTCCCTGCCACGCGTGCTGTCAACCTGTGCCCCAGAACACTTGCTCCTGCACAGAGCGCTCCTGGGCTATGATGCTTTCTCATTCTTCACTGGGAATGTGTTACTCCTGTGTTAGTGTTCCTGGTGGAGGGTTTTAGCACTTCCCTTGCTGCTGAGGTTGTGCATGCTTTCTCCCCTGGACCACAGGCTTCCTGAGGGCATTATTGGATGTAGTGGTGTGACGATGCACTGGATTGTGCTGGTATGTGGGGGTCTGTGTTGGTGTCACTGGGGTTTTCTAGTTGGGGGTTCTGTGCTGTAAGTCTGTCTACTGTGTGAAGAGGATGTGAAGCCAGTCTCTGAGCGAGCAGCCGTGTGGACCTTTCGTGGTTTGGGTGTTCAGCAGCCTTTGGGAGCTGGACCTCAGTGAACTTTCCCAGGTGCAGAGCCTGTGAAGCCTGAGTTCTGAGCTTTTGCTTTACATCCTCTCCTGTGCCCGGTGCCCATAGTGTCGCTGGCCTAGTTGGCTTGCAGGGTCTGGTCTGATCTGGATCCTCTACCACTCAGGCCAGTTTCCCCCTTCTGAGCTCAGTCCCTGATTTTCTCTGTGGACGGGGGTCTCTGGGGTCTAGGTGTTCAAGCCCAGGCCAAGCATGGCTGGACGACCCGTCCGCATAGGAGACCAGCTGGTTCTGGAGGAAGATTATGATGAGACCTACATCCCCAGTGAGCAAGGTAAGAGGCTTGTGGGATGTTCAGAGTTTGTCAAGGGCAGTGATAATGTCTGATGTCTGGTCCATATTGGTTCCTTCAGTACAGTGTATGGCGCAAGAAATGGCTGGCTGTGGATCAGGAGTCAAGCTATCTATAGTCCCTGTGCTTAACTTGGCTTGTTGCTTGTTATTATAAATAAAGTTTTATTGGAAAATAGCCACAGTTATTTGTTTCTGTATTGTCTGTGGCTGTCTTCAAGCTGTGTAACATAGCTCTGACGACAACATATGACCCATAAAGTCCATAGTGCTTACTATCTGGCCCTTAACCAAAAAAAGTTTACCAACTTGGGGTTAGATCTTTTTTTTTTTTTTTTTTGTGGTGCTTGGAGTCAAACCGAAAAAGATTAGGTTTAAATGAAAATGTAGGAGGGGATATTATGAACTACAGTATGTCCTGATGCCAGAGCAAACCCTCTGTTTTTTTTAGTGCTAGGGATAAAATCCAGGGCTTTGCACGTGCTAGGCAGGAATACTACTTCTGACACTGGGATTACAGGTGCATGCCACCACACCCAGTCTCAATCACAGTCTCAGTGTGCCCCGGGAGTGGGGCTGGCAAGGCACGCTGGGGATCGAACTCCAGCTGCTGCATCTGCCTAAGCAGGTGAGCTATCTGGCTGGCCCCCAAAATTTATATTTATAATTACCCTTTCACCCTTTGCTGCTGCTCAGCAAGTCAGGTACTATTATTATACCTGTTTTGTAGTAAGGAAACCAAGGGACAGAGAGGTTAAATAGTTTTCTGTAGTTACACCATTTCTACAGTGGTACAAAGGATCCTTACACGTGTATTCTATGTGCAAGACCTGGTCTTTTAAATGCTGTATTATTTTTTGGAGTGAAATTTCAATTTTGCAGAGTTGTGGATCTGGACATGTTTTGTGGCCTGTGACCCTGTGGAAGTGGACTGAGAACCTTGGAATCCCCTGGGAGCCCATTATCCCATATAGTAACTTTTTTTTTTCCCCATAATTTTATTGAGAAACAAATAGCAATGAGACAGTTTCAAACCAAATTGGTAGGACAGTTTCAATAATTAACACATTGCATACATTCTTCCTAGTGGTTAATTGCTGTATAAGATGCGGACTTGATATCCTATTTACAAACACTATTAGAACAAATTCCACTATTCATTAAGAGAATGTAACTATATATCTATCCTAACCACTTTGAATACACAGATACAAAATGGACATTCATCTGTATCCCCTTTTTTCGTTAAGTTCCATCATTTAAATATTATAGGTGTGTACCACATAGTAACTTTGGACTTTGCTTATAGTGTAGTGTGTTTGTTCAATTGCCATCTAAAAATTTTTTATTTTTTTGTGGAACCAGGGATTGAACTCAGGCCCTTGTGCTTGCCAGACAAGTGCTTATTTTACTGAGCTATCTCCCTGGCCCCTTAGAAATTTTGAATTTTAAATTGTTTTGGTGCAGAAGATTGAACCCAGGACTTTGTTCATATGTTCTACCATTGAGCTATAGTACACTCAGCCCCAGAATTTAAAATTTAAATCTATCAGTCCATCGTAATACAGCCTCTGAACTATGCATCATAGTTACAAAAGCCTGTCCCACTCAAGTGTACTTGTCTCCTGCGTCTTCTAGTTTTGCTCCTATACCATTACTGGGATGGCCAGCCTCCACTTACTGACTTGGGTGCTGTGTGTTTGGATCTACTTTCTCTCCTCTTTCACTATTTATTCATGTCACTGCTCTACTCTTAATTATTGAGGCGCCATCATAAGTTGTAATGCCTGGTAGGCTAAACACAATGCTCTTGTGCATGATTTTCAAGGTTTTTCTTGGCTATGGCTTACCTTCCCTTGAAATTTGGAATTGCCTTGTCACATTCTGGGTAGGGTTTTATAAATGGGGGAACTGTTGGTGTTTGGAGAAAATTGTGATTAATAATTGAATTAATTTAGGGAAAACTCTCATCCTTATGAAGTTTTGCTATTCAAGAACATTGTATTTCTTTCTATGTGTGTCTTTGTTTTGCTGTTTTGGAATAACTTTGTTTTCTTTGTATTGGTCTTAAGCATTTCTCGCTCACATCTCTCCTTCCTGTTCTTTTCTTCTTCATGTCCTTACACATGGTAGGCAAGGACTTTACCACTGACTTATATCCATCGGCCTGCCTGCCTGCCTGCCTGCCTGCCTGTCTCTCTATCAGTCTGTCTGAGACAGAGTCTCCCTATGTGGTTTGGGCTGGCCTTGACCTCATGGTGATCTTCCTGCCTCAGGCTCCTGAGTGCTAGGGTTACAGGCATACACCACCATGCTCAGCTCTACTTTTATTTTGAGACAGGATCTCTCTGAATTGCTAAAACTGGCCTTGAGTTTATGATTCACCTGCCTCAGTTTCCCAGAGTACTGGGATTACAGGCATGTATCACCATGCCTGGCTGATACCTGGACTGTTTCTTAAATACATGTTGAAACGGTTCTAATATGAAAATGCAGAATTAAAAATGCTCCAAAATCTGAAACATTTTGGGTGGAGCATTTCTGATTTTGAATTTTCATATCAGGGATGTATGTCCAGTAAAGTCTATGCAGATAGTCCAAAAACTGAAAAAAAGATCTGCACTCTGAAACACTTTTGATCCTGAGATTGTTTTGAGATGAGATACTAAGCCTGTGTTGTTGTTGTTTTTCGTTACTGTTGTAAACGCGGTCAAGGTTTTTCTGAGGAAGTTTATTTACACCTGCTCAGCCCACGTTTAGGTGTTCTTTTTTTTTGTTTTTTTATTGGGGGTGTGTGTGTGTGTGTGTGTGTGTGTGTGTGTGTGGCCAGCTCAGCCCACCAGGGGGCGCGGCTGGCTGGCATGTGGTGCTGGGGGATCGAACCGCGGTCCCTGTGCTTTGCTTAGCTTAGCTTGTTCCAAGTAGGTGCTTTAGACCACTGAGCCATCTCTCCAGCCCCACGTTCAGGTGTTCTAATCTCAAGATTTCATTTTCTCTTCTTGGGCTAGCTCAGTGGCTTTCTATCAGCTCACCGCTTATCCTTGGGCCTTGTCCAGTCTGCGTGGCGCCTGGGGGCCTGAGTGACCAATGCATAAAACATGTTCCTCTTGAGCTCTGCTGTTAGAGCTGCTCCACGCTGTCAGCATAATACCCTGAGAGGGCTGGTAGGGCCTTTGGTGACCTGGCCCTTCCACCTGGCAGGCCTCATTGCCAGCCACGTGGGCTTTCTGGAAGTCTCCAGGTACTAGGCCGCGTCTTCCCACAGGCCCTCTGCACGTGCTTTCCTGCCGGCGTACTCTTTCTCAGCGCTTCGCCTAGTACTCTTCACCTCCTGCATGTTTCACTTTAGTCATTGCTGGTGGGATATGCTTGACCATTCATTCTAAAGAAGCCCGCCAGCCAGGCGTGGTGGCACAGGCCTGTAATCCCAGTACTCAGGAGGCTGAGGCAGGAGGATTATTGTGAGTTGCGACCAGCCTGGCCAGCTACAAGGTGAGTTCAAGGCCAGCCTGAGCGGCATCAGGAGACCCTGTCTCAAAAAGATAAAAAAAAAGAAAGAAAAAAGAAAGAAAGATATAAGCCTACCTTTACCTTATTATTCTCTATCTCTGACATCCTTTCCTTCCTTTACTGTGTTTGTTGGTAGCTCTGATTCCTTGGGTATTTATCTGTTTACTTCCTTGCTGTGTGTCTCTTCTATTAGAATGTAAACTCTGCAAGGGCAGCAACCATTTTTTTATTTTTATTTTTATTTTTATTTATGTGTGTGTGTGTGTGGCCAGCTCAGCCCACCAGGGGGCGGGGCTGGCTGGCATGTGGTGCTGGGGGATTGAACCGCGGTCCCTGTGCTTTGCTAAGCTTGTTCTAAGTAGGTGCTTTAGACCACTGAGCCATCTCACCAGCCCCAGCAACCATTTCTTATAGTGACTGGCAAGTGGGAGGCACTCAAAAGTATTAATGAAGTCAATGAATAAATCAGTTCTTGGCTAGCCAGGTTCCAACTGATCTTTTGAAAAAAGCAGTCTTTGTTTCCTAGTCCTCCTGTATGTCACACTCCATTGAGATGATCCATATTTGTGATCCTCTCTGGCCTGGGCTTAAGCACTGATGCCCCTTGGGTATTTCTTTTCTTATTCCTGGGGCCTCCAGTGACATGTTCCAGTGGTCATCTCACCTGTCTTTTCTTAAAAGGGAACTAGCTCTTAATTCAGTACCTGTATCTCTCCTGTGTCTGGGGATCTCTGTCGAAAGAACTCTTATCAATTCTTGATTCTAAGAGTATAGTGGAAGTATTAGGGTCTGAACTACATCAAAAAATGGAAAAGAATTACCTGTGGAAGAGAAGACTCAGTGAGTGGGAAGAGGGCTGAGTGTCAGCTGCGTTCTCAGCTCGGGCATGTCCCTGCTTCTAGACAGAATTGGTACCTGCCTCCCTCCTGCCCCAGGGCATGCCGCGCATCACCGTCACAGCACACAGAGCCTGGGTTCTACTCTTATTTATGTGTTTCTGAGATCCTGAAAGGACCCCGTCATCTGCAGTTATTTAGCACGTGTCTGGTTATTGAGTGACAGGGACTTTGGCACCAAGCTCTTGCAGATCTGGGGAGGGCTTATCTCCTCTGGTGAAGCTGCCCTCATCCTGGATGGTTCCAGCTGTGGCTTTGGGGTTCTTCCCGAGCTTCCTGCTGTGGGGAAGGTTTGGTTTTTGTCTTTGTTATTCTTGGTTTTAGAATCTATTGCTGGGAGTATGGGGATAGCATGTCCTGATTCAGGCGGGTCGTTTTATTATTTGTATTTAGAGAGATAATTTTTCATCATTGAAGAAAATTTGGAAAATGAAGGCAAAGTAGAAAATGTATTGATGATGATTTTAACTTTTTTTCCTCTCCATTTCCCTCTGTCCCTGTCTTTCTTACCTTTTTACCTTCCTTTTTCTTCTTGCAGAAATTCTTGAATTTGCTCGAGAAATTGGTATTGATCCCATCAAAGAACCAGAACTGATGTGGTTGGCACGGGAGGGCATCGTGGCCCCACTGCCTATGGAGTGGAAACCATGGTAAGTGGCAGGGGTGTGCCCCACTGCCTGGGACTGTCAGAGGCAGAGGGCGCTGACCCTGGGACGGTGATAGGACTTGTGTCTAGCTGTACCCCCAAAGCCCCATGCAGTCATGAGGCAGATTTCTAGAGTTTGTGGTTAACTCAGGAGCCCCTAGGATTATGGGTGTGAGCGCTGCGCCCGGCCTGGGACGACAGCCTGAGGCGATTGAAGGGAGACAGACTTCCTCTCTGTTGCCATTGCTGCTGCTACTCCTCCCTTTTGCTCTTGCTCTTTGCCGCCACCAAGAATGGTTGCCCTCTGCCGTGTGCCACTCTGCCTTGGAGCCAGCTGAGTATGGACTGACACCTCCAGTAACTGTGAGCTAAATAAACCTTTCCTTCCTTCATTTTGGGTGTACGGTATTTGTCCCAGCAGTGAGAGAAGAATGGCCGAGACTGTTAATGGGCCACCTTTTCCAGGCCTGTACTGCATGGCTGGGGACTGCACTGGACCGTTCTCCTGCTAGTGCTTTGCATGTCGCAGGCCTGGGCAGAGGTTGGTGTGATGGTCCTCATGGTGGAGTCTGGCACTCATTCTGGGGCCATGAAACTGTTGCCCTTGTTTACGTCCTCTAGCACCCACCTGAGGTGTCTTTTTGTTGTTGTTGTTGTTTTTTTTTTTTCTGGTAGTAAAGTTATTTTATTTATTTTTTATTTTTTTATTTTTAGAGAGGGTCTCATTATGTTGTGCAGGCTGGCCTTAAACTCCCTTATGTAGCCCATGCTGACTTCAAACACAGAGATGCTCCTGTCTCAGCCTCCTGAGTTCTGGGATTATAGGTATGGGCCACATGCCCAGCTCATTTTTTTAGTACATGTCTGTGGTACATAGTAAATGCATTCCCAGTGTGTCATTGTTGTTCCTCACAGACCAATACTGAAAGTGACAGCTACCTCCTTCGCATGTCCAGAATAGGTGCTGTTGTCACTGGGGCTTAACAGTGAGGCTGCCGAGACTGGCAGAGGGTTTCATCTTCCTGGGCAGTCCATGGCGCTGCTGTCCCTGAATCTCTGTAACCCACTCACAAAGACATTCCTGTTTGTTCACAGATATTTTCAATTTCAGTTAAAGCTCTTTTTCTTTTCCCCCCATTAATGTGTCTGGTGCAGGGTCTCACTACGCAGCTCGGACTCATAGTGATCCTCCTGTTTTCAATCTCCTCTACACTGGGATTATAGGTGTGCACCACCATGCTTGGATTTGCTTATCAGCTCAGTGTGCCCCAGGGGTGAGGCCAGTGCTGCCTGTGCGACTGGGGATCGGACCCTGGTCCCTGCACTTGCCAGAGCAGGCACTTAGCTCACTGAGTTATCTCGCCGGCCCCTAACTAGAGCTCTTTTGACTGCCAGGGCAGAGAACCATCCAGGTTTTCTCAGGGCAACAGGTTTAGGGGGAAGAAAGTGGCCAGGGTGAGGAGGCTGAAAGGAGCTGTGATGGCTGCCGCCGCCTTTCTCCTTCTAGGCACTGCGCGTCTCCTCATGGCGACAGTTTTCTGTGCTGTCCTCTTCACTCCTGCGTCCCCTGCACAGTGCATTCCATGTTGCCTCTGTAGGCTGAGCGACGTCATCGGCTTCCTCCCTCAGAGTGGGGTTTCCTACGTTTCCCCACCCTCAGCCCCGCTGGCCAGCCGGTCCTCCGGCTCTCACCGTGTCAGCGTGGGCTGTGCTCCAAGCGACGGCAGCTGGTGTCTTACTCTGCTCGGCTGAAGCAGCCGAAGTCCTTTGGGCTTTTTCTGACGTGGTGGCCTCCTTGTTCTCTTGATCTTCTTAGCTACCTTTCCTGGATCTTCTCCAGTTTCATGACATCCTGGAGGACATCTGCTGGCAATTTACATACTATTTCAGGTGCTGAGGACTCATGGTTGTGTTTATAGGATGAGGTCGTAGGGAGGCATTTGCTGTTTTGTTTCTGGTAGCAACCCCGAAGGAGGGCAGGACACCGTCACTGGTGAAGCTTTATGCTACTTGACTTCATGGACCTGCCAGGGTGTCTAATATTCCCTGTGCTATACGGAGAACATGAACTAGCATAGCTCATATATATATGAAACACTGTACACCTTTTCCCAAGGATGATTACTATTAATTGGTACATTCTTTCTAAGTCTTTTTATTTGTTTGTTTGGTGTTTGAGACAAGGCCTCACTATATAGTTAAGACTGGCTTTGAACTCAGGTAGCCCAGGTCGACTCAAACTCATAGAGCTCCTCCTGCCTCAGCCTCCTGAGGGCTGGTATTATAAGCATGTGCCACAGTGCCTGGCCCTTCCAGATCTTTTCAAACACACACAGAGGTGCTAGTTTGGTTTTTTTTTTTTTTTAAACATAAATGCTAGGCCAGGGAGATAGTTTGGTGGTCTAAGTGCCGGCCTGGTAAGTGCAAGGATCTGGGTCAGTCCTTGGTACTGCATGCTATGCTGGCCCTGTACTGGGCTGGCCATTAAAACCAGGCATGGTGGTGCATGCCTGTAATCCCAGTGCTGAGGAGGCTGAGATAGGAGGATCACTATGAGTCCAAGCTGTTTAGTGAGACCCTGTGCCAATTAATCAATTAATTTAAAAAAACACCTTAAGTGCCGTGTTCTATATACTACCTATACTTCTCTATTATGTCATGAGGCGGGCTTCTAGAGTTTGTGATTAACTCATGATCCACTGAGATTGTGGGTGAGAGGACTACTACACCCAGCCTGGGGCAGAATGCCTGAGAGCTATTTAAAGGAGACAGACTTTCTCTCAGCTGCCCTTGTTGGTACCTCGTTCTTCTTAGCAGCTCTGTCTTGCTCCTACCTAGGAGCCTTACGTGAGCCGGGCAGGTGCTCCACTGCTGAGCTATGTCCCCATCCTGGCTGTAGTACTCTTCCATTGAAGGACACTTGGATATTTCTGAGACCGTCCGTGTGTGTAAGGATCTATTTCTGGAGTCTCAGGGTTTCCCATTGATCTCTCTATCTTTGTACCAGTCCCATTCTGTCTTGATTACTGTGGCTTTATAATGACTCTTGAAATCATTTAGTGTGAGTCCTCCAACTTTGTTCTTTCTACAACCTTTGCATTTTCTTACGAATTTTATAATTAACTTATCAGTTTCCTGTTAGGAATGCATATAAATTAATTTGGAGAGAATTGACTTTTTTCTTTTTTGATAGTGGTATTTAACTCAGGGCTTTCCCACTGATCTACATCTGCAGCCTTTTTATTTTTATGTTTTTTTTTTTTTTTTTTTCCGGGGGCGGGGTACCAGGCTCGAGCTGAGGACCTCATGCTTGCCAAGCAGGCACTGTACCACTGGGCTAGAGCCCTAGCCCTCTCAGCCTTTGTAAATTTTTTATTTTGAGGCAGCATCTCTCTGTGTTTCCCAGGCTAGGCGTGAGCTTTCAGTCCTCCTGCCTCCACTCCCCAGCGTATTACTGATGTTCTAGGCATGCACCCCGTGTCCAGCCCAGCACTGACATCTCAGTACTTGGCTTTCTCAGTCGGTGAACATAGCTCTGGGCGTAACTGTGGACTCTGCTGTGTCAGGCCACAGCTAACAACCTGTTTCTAGCTCTTTAGTTTTTCTTCAGTCTAAGAAATGGTTTATGGGTTGTTTTGTGTGTACATGTCTTGCCTATCTTTTATTAGATTTATCCTTAAGTAGTCAATATTTTTTGATGTGTTTGTAAATGTAATATTTCCAATTCCCACCTTTGTGTTGCTTTTATATAGGCATAAAATTGGTTTTTGTATATTGATCTCACAGTGTGCAACCGTGCTAACTCAGTTAGGTCAGAACGGGTGGCCTTTTTTCTCTTAATTCCATCAGACTTTCTACAGGGCTGATTGTGTGTTCTGGGAATAAAGACATTTTCACTTTTTCCTTTCTAATCTGGTTCACTTTTATTTCCATTTCTTGCCTTCTTGCACTGAGTAGAGACTTCAGTTTTATTAAATAGAAATGATGACAAAGAATATTTTTGCCTTTTTTTCTCGTCTTAGGCAAGTGTTTAGTCTTTTATCATTCAGTAGATGTTAGCTATAGGTTGCTTATAAATGCCCTTTGTCAAGATGGGAAAATTTTCTTGTGTTCCTTCCGTGCTAAGATTTTAAAGCAGGGATGGGTGTTGGATCTTATCAGTTTTTTTCTCCCTCTATTGATAGGATCATATGACTTTTTTGGTCTGTTTATTTAATCAAGTATATTGATTTTTCAAGTGTTAAACTAATCTTGTTTACCTGGGATAAACTCTGATTGCTCACACTGTATTATCTTTTTTATATCTTACTAGGTTTGATTTTCTAAAATTTTCAAAATATTGAGGCTATGTCCGCGGGGGACATTGGTCTGTAGTATCATTTTTCTTACGTATTTGTCCCATTCTATGAGGCCAGATTAACATTGGCTCATCGAATGGTTTGTGAATTTCTTCCTCTTCAGTTTTTGGGATGTGCTTGTATAGGATTAGTGTTATTTATTCTTTAAATGTTTGGCCTAGTGATATCGTCTGGGCCTAGAGTCTTTCAGGAACAACTAAAAATTTCAATATGTATAGTGATTGTTCAGGCTGTTTCTTTTTGAATGAGCTTTGGTAGCTTGTGTCCTGAAGGAATTTGTCTATTTGTCTATTTTTTCTTTTTCCTTTTCATTTCAGCAGTGCTGGGAACTGAACCCAGAGCCTTGTGTGTGCCAAGCAGGTGCTTAACCACCGAGCTACATCCTCGTCCTTTTTACTTTTGAGACAGGGTCTCCATAAGTTGCTCAGGCCGGCCTTCCATTTGCAGTATGCCCTACCCCATCTCAGCCCTCCAAGCAGATGGGACTACAGGGTGCAGCACTGCATCTGGCTCCCTGTCTCTGTTGGTATTGGTTTTTTGTATTCTTTCTCCCTCTTCCTCCTGCCCTCCCCCACCCCCTTCTCCATTACTCTGGCTGTA